CTGCGACTGGGCTACCGGAGCAACTCCCCGGACTACAGGTGCTGCTGGCGACACGACGGCAACCTTCGTTCAACCTCCCCACACAGTCCCACCCCCCCTGACACACACCCCCTGCTTCACCCCTAGCTCCACTCCCCCTTCACCCCCCTTAGTACCACTCCGACGGCTCCAACAGGTCCACCCCCCTCAGCGGCAGCTGCAGCACTGGGAGACGGAGGAGGAGGAGGAGCAGGGGACGGCACACAGAAGCTGCACCCCCATGCCCCCCACCCCCAAACCCTAATTCAGGAGAACGGGCAGTAGCAGGGGTGGGGCGCCATCAGAAGCACGGGGGACAGCGGGCAGCGCAGAGGCAGCGAAGAACGGGCCGCCCACGGGCCTGGCACAGCCGCTCGAACCGCGCGCAGGCGGCCCGAGCCGCGCGCGGGCCTGGCGCAGCCCGTACGGGCTGCGCGCATGCTGTACGGGCGACGGGGGGCGACGCGCGGGTCCCCGTCGCCCGTCGCAGCGCCTCCCGAGAGCGACGCGCTGCGTGACGGGGCAGAAACCCGCCGCGCGCCTCGGGGCGCACGGCGGGCAGAGAACCGCCGCGCGCCTCGGGGCGCACAGCGGGCAGAAAACCGCCGCGCGCCTCGGGGCGCACGGCGGGCAGAAAATCGTCGCACGCCACGGGGCGTGCAACACAGAGAGTAGCAGTAGCAACGGAAGCAGTGAGGTGGGGCCCAGAGGCCAGGAGCATATGGCTCTAATACCATATGATGATAAGCAGTAGGAGAAGGCGCCATAGCTAGGAAAGCCCTAGCTAGGCAAGAAACCGTTTAGGCAAAGAGGGGGTTCACTAGCAGGAATGAGGATACAAATAGCAAACCCTAGAAGGGTTGTACTCGCTATAGAGCACCCCACTACAGGCTAGAGCATAACATTCTGACATGTAGGCGCGTGGCGACGTCACGATGACTCGCCACCAGTCCATGGCGTGCCCCCTAAGCAGCGAGATGGTGTATCTGATCTTCGCTGCGTCCGACTCGACGTAGTTTGCGTCAAAAAACGTGTTCATCGTGAAGACCCACGACTGAACCGTCGGACCTCCACGCTGACTCGGGTCGAAACAGGGCGGGCGCTGCGGCTTTAGTGGCATTGGCGCCATGATGGCGTGGTTGCCATTTGTCGCCGCAAATTCCACGCGCCGACGGACTTTACGAGGCTCCCATGGGCTTGGCGCGACCCTATTCCTCTCCATGCCTGGCATCGAGTGGGCGGCGCCATCAGTGGCTGCGCCTGAGCGTTGCCCCACGTTGTCATTCTGTGTCGGTGTGCCTGATGAAATGACGATCGGCTCCTCCGATTGTGCTGGTGCATTTGCAGGTGCGTGTGTCGTGGTCGTGCGTGCTTACGAGAGAGCACTACGAGCGGCGGTGCTGTGTCGCAGAGAGACGTCTACCCCCCCCCCCCAAAAAATTGAGATAGTGGGGAAGCGAATGTGTGGGTGCGGTCCGAGAAGCGATCGTAGGCTCTAAATACCAAGTGTTACGAGTGCAATTGAGTAAGCGAGCGAGAATTGCACTATCGAAGCAAGATTACAAATGAGCGAAGGGATGAGCGAAAAATACCGTATATAGTGAAACTACAGTGGTAACGGTAATGGACTATGGTTGTCGCGCGACGGGGCTGGGACTAAGGTTTGGGGAAATGTCGAAGCGGAGGCCCGGAGCGCGGGTTACCCGCCGAGACGTGAGGTCGGGGTGCGACATGCGAAGGTGGCGGGAGGATTGTCGGTGCGAGGGTTGCGAGTGGTAACGGTGCTAACTGTGGTGCTACAGTGATGTACGCGCTAAGCGAGGACACGAAGTAAGGAAAAGGAATTTTCCTTGCAATTGATAATGGCAGGAGAAGATGCTCGAAATAGCAGACAAGGACCAGGGGGTAAGAGCAATTCGTTAAAACTAAACTTCCTTTCCCAACCATATCTACTCAAGACATACCTGTCTATAATGTAGCACAATTTTCTTAACATCTTAGAGACGAATTGTTACTATACTGTATGTGATAGCACCTTCTTGGGTGCATTGGGATTCTACAATGTCATGATCCAGACATTCGATGTTAGTCTAGCGAGATACTGTATTGGGTGTGAGATAGGGACCAATAGGAAGCAAAGCTGGCGAGAAACGCGTGAGATTTGGTTTGGAATAAAAAAAAAAAAACAAGGAAAGCTGGCGATACAGTTCTGCTATTCTTAACGACAAAATTCCGAAATCTTACGTTTACAATTTGGGCTGCCGGCTTTAAAACCCACTAGAGACTCAGGTGGCACAATTTGTTGACGAGCATTGGTTCATCACCACAGTTCATCACCACCCATCCGCATTTGCTGTTCTGTTCCTCGTTGCCCGTTAGTGAACCACCTTGCTGGTGCAACTGGCTGGCACCAATTGTTCATGGGCAAATTCGGGGGCAGCTGGCTGGCATTGATTGGTGGAAAATTCATGGCAAATCAATGCCAGCGCGTGTCCATTGCCTTAAACAAGTGGTGCAACTGGCTGGCACCAATTGTTCATGAGCACCACTTGTTTAAGGCAATGGACACTCGCTGGCATTGATTTGTAAAAAGCTCCCAAGCTGGTTAATCTTTGCAGGGTGGTTTACTTAGAATGTCTTATGTCTACGGTTGAATTGAGGAAAAAATATCATTTTCTGCGTTCTCAGCTGTTTTCGGATCTCTCCAGAACTCTTAAGAAAACGCCGCTGCACGAGTTTTAAGCAAACAACTGAACACGATCCAAAGCGAGCTGAGCCATTTCCTAACGACGTGTTAGGACCCACTCGGATTGGGTCAGCCACCACCCGACCCATCACTTCTAGGAAGGCTGCATCGCGGGTCTAGCCGACCAGGTCGAGCCAACCAGAACCGGTTGGGTTTGCCTGAACTCGGTCGACCAGGTCGGCTCAAACAGGCCAACCAGACCCAACCCGATCGAGCTGGAGAGGTTACAATAGTCTGCGAACTTCAGAGTTCTCGCGCAAATGTCGCCTCAAATTCGCTGCACAGAATGATACCCTGCAACATCGACGCGAATTTTCCAGTCCACCATCCCCCCGCCCGGCAACTGCTTTCCTGGTCCCTCGAGGATGCACGGAAACCGACGGGAAATTGCCCTGATTGGAAAACAAAAAGCTCGGTCCATATCTGATTGCTTTTGCTCGGTCCAAAAGCCCGAAGCGGGAAAACAGAAAGCTCGGTCGCAGCGGAAGATCCAGTCTTTACGTTGCGGTCACTTTCTCAACATCGACACTCTACAATGCCACGAATAGTCTCTAGCTCCTTGGGTGTCTGATCCCTAAAGCCAAAAAATGTTCGAATGGGTTTTAAGAAAAACTGACTGCTAGGTGTACTTTTTTTATGTCTAGGGCTACTAGCCGAGAAAACGGATCGACTTTTGTGAACACCTTCCACTCTGGCAGGTCGTGTGCTGTCAGACTTGGACAATTGACTGCGAACGGTTACTTTGAGTGGGGGAGGTCCCACAACAAGGTCTGACTGTGGGTGGAGCTGGTGAGCTGTGCATGAACATCACGCCACAACCGTGCGCAACACGTGGAACAAGGTCACCAATCAAATCGACGATAGAATTCCAGCCAGAATTTTCTCACGAGGAAGTGTGAGACCAGAAGCGCTCCATACCTTCGTAATAGTCACAACATGCCTGCACTGCACACAGCAGCACACGCCACGGGATAATTCAGCAACTGTGCAGAACACATCGACGAAACCCCACAGGTTTCACATGCTGTGCTCCGTCGGTATGTTTTGATTGTATGTTTGGTGGTGGTGTGGTTTTTGTTGAAGGGTTGCTTGTTCTGTCAAACGGGGGCGCTTGATAGTTAGTAAAACGTTGGATTCGTTATCGTCTAGTCAATATTAGGGCGACGTCAGGTTGTACAAGTTTTTGCTCGCACTCTCTGGTAAACTTCATTTCAACACGGTGAAAAGCGGCAATCGTGGAGAACCGTTTTCCCCACCGTGTTTGACCGTTTTGAACCACGATACAGGAACTGTAAGCGTGTGTAAAATGTATAACCTGACGTCGTATAAGCACAAAAGCCGATTTCAGAAACCCTGGGCGGTCAGCACACGAACTGAGACACGGACAGCCACAGACACGGCAGCCACATCCTGGTCGGCTCTGTTCCCTCGCAAAGCTCAACAACTCCAGCGGAGAGACCCATCCGATCTTCCTGTCAAGGCTGCGAAACCCAGTCACAAGTCAGGAGGGATTTCTGCCATTACTACAGCAGTGTAAATTTCTAGTGTTGCGTTCTAGAGAAAGCTCCTCTCGTAGGAGAAGCACGGAACCGCATGGGTGCTGCCATTAGAACTAACAACAGATCAACGATGACCACGAAACATCAACGAATATACCTTATCTTCGTGCAAAGGTTGCGACTTAGAATACGCTCGAGTCTGACACACGCGCTTAGCAACTCATAATTAAAAAATGTTCAGCCCCGAATCTGTTAACTTCTTAAGTCCAAGTCTGGAGACCAAGTGCTAAGGATACGGCTAGGTCACATTTGGGTCACTTCTGAAGAACCTACCAGGTCACTTTCTGGATAGGACTCGGTGAAGAGATTTCGTCCTTCAAAAACATTTTTCAGATCTGTGAACACTAGTATTCTCCTTGGATAGCTCGTTCTACCGTTAAAACATCTTGCTGAATCTGGAGATTCTTTTCCGAGATACCGTAGTATTTGAAATTTTTGAGGACATCTATGCACTCAAGAAACGTGACAGAAACAGAAATATGTAAGTATCCGCAACAAACTCCCACGAACCCTCCATCCCACCCCCTCAGCCTTCTCCCTTCGCATTTGGCACCAGTATAGTCACAATGGAACATGATCATCATGTGCACGAAAAGAGGCAGGCTGGGGAAAAGGAGGACGCATCAGGATTCCAGCGGCAGATAATCCAGCGAGAGCAGTTGCAACAAGGGCAGATCATGCCACCACGGGAGCAGTTGCCTAATCAGTTGCCACAACAGCAGATGAAAGAGCAGCAGATGAAGGAGCAGCCTAGACCGGAGCAGATGCAAGAGCAGCAGATGAAGGAGCAGCCTAGACCGGAGCAGATGCAAGAGCAGCAGATGAAGGAGCAGCCTAGACCGGAGCAGATGCAAGAGCAGCAGATGAAGGAGCAGCCTAGACCGGAGCAGATGCAAGAGCAGCAGATGAAGGAGCAGCCTAGACCGGAGCAGATGCAAGAGCAGCCTAGACCGGAGCAGATGCAAGAGCAGCAGATGAAGGAGCAGCCTAGACCGGAGCAGATGCAAGAGCAGCAGATGAAGGAGCAGCCTAGACCGGAGCAGATGCAAGAGCAGCAGATGAAGGAGCAGCCTAGACCGGAGCAGATGCAAGAGCAGCAGATGAAGGAGCAGCCTAGACCGGAGCAGATGCAAGAGCAGCAGATGAAGGAGCAGCCTAGACCGGAGCAGATGCAAGAGCAGCAGATGAAGGAGCAGCCTAGACCGGAGCAGATGCAAGAGCAGCAGATGAAGGAGCAGCCTAGACCGGAGCAGATGCAAGAGCAGCAGATGAAGGAGCAGCCTAGACCGGAGCAGATGCAAGAGCAGCAGATGAAGGAGCAGCCCAGACCGGAGCAGATGCAAGAGCAGCAGATGAAGGAGCAGCCTAGACCGGAGCAGATGCAAGAGCAGCAGATGAAGGAGCAGCCTAGACCGGAGCAGATGCAAGAGCAGCAGATGAAGGAGCGGCAGAGACAGGAGAAGATGAAGGAGCGGCAGATGGAAGAGAAGCGGAATCAGAAACAAATGCAACAGCAGCACATGATGAACAATAAGCGAATGGAACAGCAGCAGATGCAACCACAGCAGACGCAACAGCGACAGAGGCAGCTGCAGATGCAACAACAGGAGATTCCACAGCAGTTGCCACAGCCTTATACAGCACTGCTACAGTCATACTTACCACAAGCAGTAGCACAAGGTGAGACTGCAGCTGGTCCATCAGAGTCTGGAGTTAGGCGCATATTGACGCGCGACAGAAACTACCACCAGCATGGGAAGTATCGGGGAGTGAGGAAGCGTGGTGCGTCTGGCTACGTTGCTGAGATTAAGGACACGACTCATGGATTCCGCAAATGGTTGGGCACGTTTTCTTCAGCTGAAGAGGCGGCTCGGGCGTTTGATAGAGCTGCTTTCGGTATCCGAGGATCGAAGGCGAAACTTAATTTTCCAGAGGTTTTTCTCCAGGAAAAGGGAGCAGTGGGTTCCAATCCTGCCGAACCAGAAGCACCGGTTCAGATGGAAGCCGCAGGAATGGAGGATGGTAATATTGGTGACAGACATGGCCCGAGAGTGCCGAAGATTCGGGCATCTAAAGGACAAGTTGGAAAGGGCAGTTCTAGGAGCTCTGGAGGGGAAGGGAAAGAAGTCGCGGATTCTGAAGATGCTGTGGAAGGGCGTTCGGTGGGAGTGGATGCGGTCAAGAAAAAACTGCTCGGGAAGGGAACAAGTAGGGCAGTGGCAGCGGCTGGACCTGAATCAGGTGGAACATCAGGGGCTGTAGGTTCTGTGCCAATTGGTGAAGCAGCAGGAGGGGGAGCTGGTGATGGAGGAGAGGGGGTTGAGGGAGGGGGGAGAGGAGGGGGAGGGGGAGGGGGAGGAGGAGGAGGAGGAGGAGGAGGAGGAGGAGGAGGAGGAGGAGGAGGAGGAGGAGGAGGAGGAGGAGGAGGAGGAGGAGGAGGAGGAGGGGTTTGCGTAGCAATAAAAGCAGTACCAGTACCAGCACACACCCTTGAAAGAAGCTCCACTGTCAGCAGCAGCAGCTCCAGCGGAACTGCCCCTTTCTCATCTGTCCTATCCACCTCTTCGTCTCCCGCCTTTGCCCCTTTGGCCCCGGCCTTTTTCTTATACTCCAGCCTTCCTGGTTCCCCTGCTCCCTCCAGAGCTACCTCTTTCATACACTCCACCCGTTTTGCTACCCCTTTCCATTACCCCTCTTCCTCTTCCCTACAATCCACCCTTCCTGCTTCCTCCTCACATTGGCCATCTTCGTTTTCCCCACATTCCTCCCTTTGTGCGACCTCTTCCCCTGAAGCTGCACTTACGACCCTTCCTCTCCATGTCATGTTTCCGTCTTATCCTGGTGTACTGCAAACCTCAGCTGTCACTCCATTCCCGTGTGGTGATACCATTGGTCGCTTTTCTATCCCGCAGCAGAATTCACCATGTGCTGGAACTGGTGGGACAGGTTTGCTGGGCTTTGGTGTGCCAGGAGCAGGTACAGTCAGGGTTAAAGGGTTGGGAATTGAGGGCGTGGCAGCAGATGCAGAGCAGTCCTATGCGTGTGCGGAGCAGTTTGTTCAGCAGCTTGTGAAGGTTGAAGAAGCAAATGATGCTGGAGTCGGTGGGGTTTGTGCTACAGAACGTAAGCAAGGAGCAGAAGAAGGGGAGATTTGTACAGGGGAAGAAATCAGTGGGAGCAGGAGGAAGGTGGGGACGATGGAGGAGGAGGAGGAGAAGGAGGCAGAGGAGGAGGAGGAGGGGAGTGTGATGGAGATGACGACAAGAATTGATGGGCATTTCGCTTGCCTTGTTTCTCGTCATGGTTGTGTGGCAACGGTGACAGAAATGGGGGCAGCAGATCAGTACCAAGAGTTGCCTCACAGCCATCACTCACAGGCGCAGCAGCAAAACCAAAAAGCAGAAAACGACCACGAGCATCAGCAGCAGCAACTGCAGACTCTGCTGCAGAAGCAACTTCATTTAATGGACCACCAAGAGCATAAGCAGCAGCAGCAGAAACGCCTTGCGTCAAGCTTCCCGCGATGCAACTCTCTTCCCCCGAAGGCTGGAAGGAGGGGCACAAAAGGTCCACGGCGTGCTTCAGCAGACCTCACAGCTCTACCTTTCTTCAAAGAGGAAAATATGGAGCCACAGACGTTTGGGATCCACACCCCAGACTTCAAAAGAGACAACAAAAGGTCGAAGCTTTCAAGCCCACCCTGGTCCACAGCTCATTTCGAACCTGCGTCTCAAATGTTTCGAAGCCACAGTGTCTCTTTCCCCCTGGAACCACCTGTTGTAAGTGCTTCAACCCCTGAAGGTATGAGCAGTGCAGGTGGTGCTGGGTTTGCTTGTGGTTTGGATGCTGTGGGTACTTCGATTCGTATATCTTCTACAGGTGAAAGTGTGGGTAGTGGACATAGCAGCATATTAGCTGCTTCCAGTGTTGCCAATGCTGCCGGTGTTGCCGGTGCTGCTGGTGTTGCCAGTGCTGCTGGTGTTGCCGGTGCTGCTGGTGTTACCTGCGCTCCTGGTATTGTTGGGCTTGCATCCAGCCCAGCCCACTCTCTCAACACAGATTCGAATAGCTTCCAACACAGGGCCAGGAGATCACGGTCACATGAACGTGGGGCAATGGGAGCAGCACAGCTGGACAGGGCAATGGTGCATGCACCAGCATACCAACTACAGCTGGAAACCAAGGGTAACGTCCAAGGTTTACCAAATCCTTTAGAAGAGCAACCAGGGAGGCATGCTAGCACGCGCAAGCCACATGAAAGCAATGAAGACATGATTCCGCATCAACTGTTAGAGAAACGAGATGTGGAGGGGCAGCAGAGGATGTGGATGGACTGGATGCAGATGGCACAGCAGCAGCAGCAGCAGCAGCAGCAGCAGCAGCAGCAGCAGCAGCAGCAGCAGCAGCAGCAGCAGCAGCAGCAGCAGCAGCAGCAGCAGCAGCAGCAGCAGTGGCGGCGGCAGCAGAATCAGGAGCAGCAGCAGCAGCAGCAGCAGCAGCAGCAGCAGCAGCAGCAGCAGCAGCAGCAGCAGCAGCAGCAGCAGCAGCAGCAGCAGCAGCAGCAGCAGCAGCAGCAGCAGCAGCAGCAGCAGCAGCATCAGCATCAGCATCAGCAGCAGCAGCAGCAGCAGCATCAGCATCAGCATCAGCATCAGCATCAGCATCAGCATCAGCATCAGCATCAGCATCAGCATCAGCATCAGCATCAGCATCAGCATCAGCATCAGCATCAGCATCAGCATCAGCATCAGCATCAGCATCAGCAGCAGCAGCAGCAGCAGCAGCAGCAGCAGCAGCAGCAGCAGCAGCAGCAGCAGCAGCAGCAGCAGCAGCAGCAGCAGCAGCAGCAGCAGCAGCAGCAGCAGCAGCAGCAGCAGCAGCAGCAGCAGCAGCAGCAGCAGCAGCAGCAGCAGCAGCAGCAGCAGCAGCAGCAGCAGCAGCAGCAGCAGCAGCAGCAGCAGCAGCAGCAGCAGCAGCAGCAGCAGCAGCAGCAGCAGCAGCAGCAGCAGCAGCAACCACAGCAGCAGCAGCAGCAGCAGCAGAAGGAGCAGGAGCAGGAGCATCAGCAGCAACATCAGCACCAACAACAGCAGCAGCAGCAACAGCAGCAGCAAGAGCAACAGCAGCAGAAACAACATCAGCAGCAGCTGCAGCAGCAGCAGAAGGAGCAGGAGCAGGAGCATCAGCAGCAACATCAGCACCAACACCAGCAGCAGCAGCAACAGCAGCAGCAAGAACAACAGCAGCAGAAAAAACATCAGCAGCAGCAGCACCTTGTGTCAAGCATCTCGCAATGGATTTCTCTGCGCTTGAAGGCTGGAAAAAGGGGTAAGGCAGCTGCACGGTGTGTTTCTGCAGACCTCACAGCTCAATCTTCCCTCAAGGAGGAAATGACTGAGCAGCGGGATATAAGAAGCCATACTCCTGTCTTGGAAATAGGCGACACAAGATCCAAGTTTTCCAAGCCTCCTTGGTCCGGGCCTCAACCCATGCCTCGTTCCGAACCTGTATCTCCTATGATTCGAAGCCACAGCGTCTCTTTCTCTCTGAGACCACCAGTCGTCACTGCTTCAACCCCTGATTCCCAGCCCTGTGTGGGCAGCACAGGTGGGGTGAGTGGTGTGAGCGGGGCAAGTGGTGTGGATGCTTCTCGTGGTTTGGATGCTGTGGGTCCTATGGTAGGTATACCTGCTGCTGGTGAAAGTGTGGGCAGTGGACTTAGCAGCCTGGCAGCTGCTGCCAGTGTTGCTCGTGTTGCTGGTGTTGATGGTGCTGCTGGTGTTGCCGGTGCTGCTGGTGTTGTCGGTGCTGCTGGTAATGCCGTTCCTGCCAGTGTTGCTGGTGCTGCTGGTGTTGCTGGTTCTGGTGGTGTTGCCGGTGGTGCTGGTTGTGCCAACGCAGCTGGTTTTGTCGGTGCTGCAGGTCCTGCAGGTGTTGCTGGTGTTGCCGGTGCTGCCAGTGTTGCTGGTGCTGCTAGTTTTGCCGGTGGTACTGGTGTTTCCGGTGCTATTAATTTTGCCGGTGCTCCTCATTTTGCCGGTGCTGCAGGTGTTACTGGTGCTGCTGGTGTTGCCGGTGCTGCTGGTGTTGCCGGTACTGCTGGTTTTTCCAGTGCTACTGGTGTTGCCGGTGCTCCTGTGTTTGCGCTTGCATCCACCCCAACCTGCTCTCTCAAATTAGATCCGAACCTCCCCCTGCACAGAGTCAGGAGATCATGCTCACATGAACGGGGGGCAATGGGAACAGTTCTGCTGGACAGGGCAATGTTGCATGCACCAGCATACCAACAACGGGTGGCAGACATAATTTATGGCGAAGGGTTACCAAACCATTTTGAAGAGCAACCAGGGAGGCATGCTAGCAGGCATGTGCCTTATGAGTCACCTCAAAAACCTCCTAGGAGGTACGGACACAACATCCAGCATCAGCTGCTGCAGCAGAGGGAATTGGAGGGGCAGCAGAAGCTGTGGCTGGACGAGAGGCAGTTGGCATGGCAGCAGCAGCAGCAGCAGCAGCAGCAGCAGCATCAATTGCATTCAATGCATCAACAGGAGCAGCAACAGCAGCATCATCACCAGCAGAAGCGTAAGCAGAACCAGCGTCCACAGTCAGTGCTGCAGCAACAGTTGCAGTTGATGCAGCAACAAGAGCAGCAGCAGCAGCAGCAGCAGCAGCAGCAGCAGCAGCAGCAGCAGCAGCAGCAGCAGCAGCAGCAGCAGCAGCGGCGGCGGCAGCAGCAGCAGCAGCAGCAGCAGCAGCAGCAGCAGCAGCAGCAGCAGCAGCAGCAGCAGCAGCAGCAGCAGCAGCAGCAGCAGCAGCAGCAGCAGCAGCAGCAGCAGCAGCAGCAGCAGCAGCGGCAGCAGCAGCAGCAGCAGCAGCAATGGCCACTCTCACCCTTCCAGCGAGCCCTCCCGTCCTGCACACTGCCTCTCCCCCCCATAACACCTCTTCAATCTAGTCAAAAGTCACCTTTCCTACAGCCTCTTGTCCCCATAGATTCTACTTCTCTAACCTCCGCTGCTGCAGCCACTGCTGCCGGTATTGCTACCGGCGCTGCTGCTGGCTCTTCTACTGCTGCCAGGGCTGAGGCAGCAGCCCTCACTCCCCCCTTCTCTCCTACCTCCCTCTTCCACAGTACTTCCAGATCCCCAGCCTTGGGGCATGATGCCTCTAGGAGAATCGACGGCTCTGAAACCGGCAGTGCTGGCCGCGGTGGTGGGGATGTGCTCATGCAGGAAGTCACAGCAGCAAATTATGGGGCTGCGTGATGTGGTGGTGGTGATGGTGGTACTGAACATTCTACTGCGGAGTGTCATATTGAGGAACAATATTGCGCGGAGCAGCATTGTGAGGGGCAGCCTAGTAAGGGGGAGCAGGCTAATGCGGACCAGGATTGTGAGCGTCAGCCATGTGCGGGCCAGCCCTGTCTGGAAAGGCTCTGTGCGGATGAGATGTGTGCTGCCCAGCCTAGTGCTGACCAGCTGTGTTCTGCCCAGCAGCGTGGCATGGCAGATTTGAGCCTTCCGCTTTCTCAACCCTCAGAAGACTTGTTGCTTCCTGAGGGCCCGCAACTCACGCTGTCTGCTGCAGCAAATATTACCACCCCATTCTCTCATATCAACACAACAGCCTGTTTCAGTTTCGAGAACTACACCAGTGCTGTCCCTTATATGGAGCACTTGCGAGCAACGGGTATATATTCTGATGTTGGTGGAGGAGCTATGGATGTGGGAGTGTCAGCGGGCACTGCAGAAAATACCCGGCATTTGGCTGCGGGTGGCACTGATGCTGGGGTGTTCACCATTGATCGGCTCGAGTCGTTGCTGATGGATACTGGGGAGCACCGGAAACAAGATTAGTGGCGTAAAATGTGCAATATCTTAAAGGTAGTCATGATTGTCTGTTTCATCCATGGATCAAGTGATACAGGACACATGATATGGGATTTGGGAGTTGAGGGACGAAAGTCGGGGATTGGGAGCTAGGAAACGGAGGAGACAGGAGATGAGGGACAAGGGATGTGGTAAGAAGGAGGTTTGAGCGATGGCTTCGACCCAAGGAGACTCATAGAAGCTTGCAGAAAATCTTGGAAGCTTGTGGTGACACTTCGAAACTTGTGGGGAGAGAATTGTTGTGATATCTGAGGATTTCTTCTGTCTCTACTCCACTGATTGCGCGTCTACATCCTTACCTTCACTCTGGCGCCATTCTCTCTTGCTCCCACCCTTCCACCATGCGTCCCTACCTCCCTTACTCTCGCACTGCATATGTCTCCCTCTCTTCAAGGCCTTTCCCTCCCCATTTTTCCAGTCTCCCTTCCACCCTTCCTCCTTAGCTCCCTTCCTCTTTATCGCCTTCAACCCATGTGCCTTTCCAGCCTTCCAAATACCCTTTGTCTCTACATCCCTCACTCTCTTCCTCACTTTCCACCAACCTCCTGGCGTGCCGTCTTCCAACCTCATTTTTTTCCCCCTCTCTCGGCCTCTCCCTTCCGCCTCTCCAGCCTCCATTCCACCCATCTTCTCTTCTACCCTTCCTATCTTCCTCTCGTAAGCCCTTTCATGCCTCCCTTTCTAGCCTTCATGGGCCCTTCTCATCCTCTGCTTTGTTATCCACTCTCACCCAAGCCTCCCTCTTTTGTTCTTCGCTTCTTCCCTCTCATTCTTTCATCTTCCAGCCTCCATTCCTCGCAAGTGTCAAGCGCAACATATGTCATCGGAGGGCTTAGCACCCTAAGAGCCAACGTCCATGTGTTAGACCAACTGTGCGAGCGTGCCCGGAATAGTGCCAATATGTATATAGTTATATATACGTATATCTGTACAAAAAGCGACACCTTCTCAAAATATACAAAATTCTTCATGTGGTTGACGAGTGGATGATACGTTTGAGAGAATGCATCATTTTTTTCCAGTAAAGTTAAAGTTCCACCACGTTTTGCAAACTCACCAGCCAAAAGCCTTGGCGCAGGACAAAGACGCATGATTAAAGATTATGTTATATGTATTGATGATACCTTTTATATTCATGTAAGGAACTTTCTCGACATTCCTTAGGGCGCCCTGCAACATCGCGTACAGCAGCAGCCGTTGTTCGCTCGTTACTGCTAACAGGGCTTCGCCGACTTCGCGCACACTGTTTCACCAAACCTCGCACTGCTGACCTGGCCGTGTCGGCCTACGCTTTAGGAATAGCCCGAGCCACGCACCACGTTACCATTCGCATGTTTCGCGTATAAATGTTTGCTCATGCCTTGTACCTTAGTGCAATCCTCGCTACCTCGATTCATTGTACCCGTAACACTTGGTATTCAAAGCCTCTTTCTTTTTGGACCGCGCATCTTCGCACCTTAGGAAATCAACTTTTGTTTTTTCACTCGAAGGGACTCACGCACCTTAGCGCCTATTGTCAAACTCATATGCTATAGTCTGTGTAGGCTGTATTGGGGTAGACAATATGGGGTACAACACTTCTAGGTTTTCCTACATGTACCCACCTGCTTGCTAGTTCATTCATTCCTCATTTCTTCACATGGTATAGAGCAGGTTCCCTAGTGGGAACGCTTCCTTGGGCCCACCACTGAAATTTGTTTTTTGACCGGAGCGACAGTCCCTCCTGCCCGAGGCGCGCCTTGTGGGCTGCCCTTCTGTCGACCTCTCTTAGAGGCCCCTCTCACGGCCCCTCGCGCCACCCTCAGCGGCCCCGTTGCCGCCCCTAGCGGCCCCGTAGCCGCCCTTCCAGGCCCCTCGCGGCCCCTAACGGCCCCGTCGCCGCCCCTACGCGGCTCCGTCGCTGCCCCTAGCGGCCCTGTCACCACCCCTAGCGGCCCCGTTGCCGCCTCCCTCCCTACGCGGCCCCGTAGCCGCTCCCCTCCCAACGCGGCCCCGTCGCCGCCCCTACGTGGCCCCGTCACCGCCCCTACGCGGCCCCGTCGCTGCCCCTAAACGGCCCCGTTGCCGCCCCTAGTGGCCCCGTCGCCGCTCCCCTCCCTACGCGGCCCCGTCGCCGCCCCTACGCGGCCTCGTAGCCACCCCTACGCGGCCCCGTTGCCACTCCTAGCAGCCCCGTCGCCGCTCCCCTCCCTACACGGCCCCGTCGCCGCCCCTACGCGACCTCGTAGCCGCCCCTACGCGGCCTCGTCGCCGCCCCTAACGGCCCCGTCGCCGCTCCCCTCCCTAAGCGGCCCCGTCGCCGCCCCTAGCGGCCCCGTCGCCGCCCCTACCCGGCCCCGTCGCCGCCCCTAGCGGGTAGTCGAGCAGCCGGGCCGCCCCTGGAGCAGCCACCACTCCAGCAGCCGCCCCTGGAGCAGTCGCCACTGCAGCAGCCGCCCCT